CTGTTATCATATAAATGTCATCTGCGTATCTTTATATTGTTGAATTATAAGAGCCAATGCTAAATATAAAAATTAGTTCTAATTCTCTCAGAATTGCCCTCTGTAATTTTTGATCATAAACATTGAGAAGACTCTTCCTTTATTTTATATCTTTTTTTTTTTTCATATATTCATTGAACTCAAATTCATGGATAATGCAATTTTTGTTTGTTCTTTTATATGTTATTGATTATTCTGGTCTCTTTTCCGAATATATAATAGAAAATTTCAAAGATCAGATTTGTGCGTAATTTGTCAAAGGTTATTTATTATACATGGAATATAATTTTTCATATATCTTTATATATTCTATCTTTATATGATTATTTATATATATATATATATATATATATATATATATATATATATATATATATATATATAATATATAAATATAATTATTCATTCTAAATTTTATCGATGTCAATACAAAAAAATGGGTGTGAAATTTAACTTTTTAAAAAATTCTTTTTAATAGAGGACAAATTTGTAAAATTTTCTAAATCAAAATTTGATCATTTTCATTTTTTATTCAAATTTGGAATGTTGTTTTGGGATTTTATAAACGCAGAGAAATTAAGAAGTAAATTAAATTGATATTTTTTTTCTCCAAGGATTATTTTTTGGTATTGATTCAAGTTTTGTGAAAAATTTACCACTATAAAATATAAATATCATTTGCGTATACATTTTAAATAAATTATTTTGTTGACAAATTGAAACATAAATTAAAAAAAATTTTTATTCATGATGCAAATTCCAAAATTTAAAATATATATATTTTTATATTCCCTCATATATATATATATATCAATGAAAATTTATTTTATTTACAAAAAAAAAAATAAGAATTTTATAAGGTCCATGGGCATTAAATAGATCAACTTTTGATTAAACCTCAGTTAAATTATTTCCGTCCAAGCAGATGAAATTTTTCATTGATTTGTTAATTCCTGACCCGTAGATTGACAGTCGATGTATTAATATCACATTAAAATGAAAAGATTTAGTGGATAATGCAACTTTTATTTACAGACTAGACAAATTATATTTAGGAATTTTGATATATGGGTCATTTTTTTCAACGCATTGATCAATAAACATATTAAAGAAATTCTAAATAAATTAAACGTATAGAAAAATATTGGAAATTAATATGAAAATTGATTAAAAATTTTAATGTAATTTCTTAAAATAAATAATATTGCTCTTTCTTTTTATTGAGCCCCTCATTTTAAAGTAAATTTATTTGAAACCCAATTGAAATTTTTTCATTATATATTTACAGTAAATATATATATATATATATATATATATATGTAAATGTTTTTTTGTTTTTCATTAAACCGTTTTGTTCGATTAAATGATGAAAAGAATCATAAATTTTTAAGTGGAATGGATTGTATAATAAATGTTGCTTTTTATGTTTTCATTAATGTTGAAAATAAATTGGAATAAATAAATAGCCCATATATACTTTGAATATTTAAATAAATTTTGTTTACAAGGCATAAAAAAATTAGAGGGTTTTTTTATTGTTTCCTTTCATTATTCATTATCAAAATTTAAATTTTAAAATTTAAAAATTTTGTATCTTGACTTTTTTCTTTTATTTTCATTTATTTTTGATGGTTAAAACAATTTTTTGTTTAAAAGATCTTTTTTTATATATATATATATATATATTTATATATATATTTTTTTTATTTTTTTTTTGTTTATTTTTTTTATATTATTTAAATTTATGTACAAATATTTAAGAAATGATTTGTTTTATAATAAACAATTTAATAAAATGATTTAATATCAGAATGTCTTTAAATTTTTATGAATAAAAGTGTCCTCCGACAAAAATCGAACCTGTATCCTATATATATTTTTATAAATTTTAACCTGACAAATTTACCGATATAAGCCATTTTAGAATCGTTCAAATTTTTTTTTGTTTTAAATAACAATCTTTTCCATGGATCTCTTTATACATTTTTTATATATATCCAAATATATAAAAATATATATATATATATAAATGGACAAGTTTACAATTATTTTAAGACATTTTTATGTTTATATATTAAAAGATTAACATACAAAGATATTTAAAAAACGCATGATAAATTTTTATAAATAATATTAAATAAAAACATTTAAGATATATGTCCATTAAAATTTTCATAAAAAAAATATTTTCTCCGAAAGGAGAATCTTTTCCTATAATGTTGTTTTTATACTTGGAAATTTAAATTTTAAGTTTACTTTTAAGGAAATTTTAAATTTCGCCTGATATTTTATTTGAATCTCATATTGATTATATCAATAGTATTAATAAATAATAAATGTTATTCAGATATATAAACAGAGCCGAATAGAGAAAAAAATTCTATTTTTTTTGTTTTAGTTTCATATTTTGACTATTTGGAAGAATTATTTAAATATCTAAAGACAAAACTTATATACAAGG